GTGTGTGTTCACAGGCTCGCCCATCATCAGAACTAGCCACAAAGATAGACTGCCTACGCTGTCCACTTCCATGGTTATCTACTCTTTCCGGTGCGTTTGTACTGCAACGTACATTGGCCGCACGGCGAGGCAGCTATCCCAACGGATGAAGGAGCACTGCCCACGTTGGTTAAAACAAGGAGGAACAGGAAGCATAGGAATGCCATTCTTGGTCATCTAGTAGATACAGGCCATCAAATTAGACCGGAATCGACTTTCAACGTAATCTATCATGTGCCCCTCAACCCCTCCAAAGCAGTGCGCTTACATACACTAGCCACCGCTGAGGCGATAGGCATTCGCCTATTCGCACCAGAACTATGTGCACAAAAGCGACTGGTTCAAGCTCTCCACTTACCCTGGCCCCNAATCACAATCAGTCTCACCCGAACACAGACACATAGAGCTTACCTCTCTCCTCTCCTCATCCCAAATGACCCTTTTGACCCAGCGTGAAAATGTGTCCCCACTAACAACAAACCCTTATATGATATGTACAGGCACGATTATGAATCATTCGAAAACAATTGTTCGCCTTCGGACTTGTGTTCTGATGTTACAATGGGATTATTTCGGAATTTGACATGTTTCTGTCAGTTTCTTGTCCGAAATATTTTAAAATCAATAGGGGTCGAACCAGTTTATGACGATCATGAAGTTCATACTTGAGTGAATTGCTAAATATCTGGGTGCTACTCTCCATGATGGTCTTTGGTGGTCGAAAAACATTCAGAACTGTATGGGAAAACCTCGGCTCCTCTCCTTTCAGCTCCGAAAGCTCAGACAGTTTCGCACTCCCCAACAAGTTTTGTTCTCTTTTGTTAAACAATGCGTTCTCCCTATTTTACTTCACTGCTTCCCTGCAGTGTTTCCCGGTCTATTGAAACAAGACTTTAAAACTATCTATCCGTCATCGATTATTGATAATAATTCCTGCCGTGTCATTCATCACAAAACTTGTAAATGGTTATATGAAGGCTTGTGTGACCTTTGCCAATAAGATTCTAAAGGACCCCTCCCATCCTTGGCATCTTGACTTATCTTCTTGTCACTCCCACTCGATCACTCTTTGCTCTTATCGGTATCTACCCTCTAGAATAAACATTTATAAAAACTCCTGTACCATATCTGGCTCGAATCTTGGCCAACAAGAAACGCGTTCTAAATGAATTACGTCCATCTTTAAATGAATAAATAAAACTTCGGAGACATTTTGTTTTACACAGCACTCTGTTGGATTTGTCTATACTTCCGTATTCTCTCCGGTGTGACGACCAGTGTACAATTTTTAACTGAAATGTAAGCATATCTCAGCTTGCAGAAGTTATACAAATACAAATGCCAATCGTGCTTGTTTCGCTTGTTTGGTACTGGAATATTGAATCTGTTTTGGTTTATCAGATCATCAATTCAGCCGCACTGAAACACGAAGAACCTCAACCGGACACCGAAGAATCCGAGGAAGCTGCCATCAACCGATTAAAGGAATTTGTGAAAAAACACAACAAAGATATCCGAAAGTTTGGCATGTTCCAGAAACCGATCGATTCACAAAACTTCCTAATCGAACATCCGTTCTTGGTCTGCGATGAGACAGCAAATCAACTGGTCCTGTGGTGTATTGATTTAGCAATGGAAGAGGCGAGTTTATTGCACGTCTATCACCATGCGATCCTAATTTGATCTCCGTATTACTTACTTGTTGTGTTTTGTACACTGTTATGCACAATCTGGGTGTTTTTTCTGATCAATTTTAAGGAAATAATATAGAATTTGCGCATCACGGCAAAAGCGGCTATGGGATTCTTCACATACACTGGAGCTTATTAAGGTGTTAGACAGTTGTGCTGTCCTTCAACAGGGTGGTAGTGGCCAAAATAGTGACCCGGAAGTCCCGGTTTCTATCCGCTGCCCATATTCCCCATCTCTGAATCTTCCCGGGTAGTTTGTTTTATGGCCGTGGCCACCTTCCTGAAAGTAAAACGACTTATTTTTATTGACTTGATCATTAAGAATACAGCGCTGCCTTGCTGCGTTTCATAATTTTAAATTTCTGGGATCCACCCCTTATTCGTACGGCCACTCACACATACGTCATATCTGTCACACTGTGTAGCACTCTTTTCAGTTAAAATGCGATAAAGACTAATTAGATTCGGCACATGGGGTCGCTCGACTGCTCACCACATTGTGTCATCCAACTGATAGCGTTTGATCAACGCTGCATGTTTCGCTTCCATTAAACTAGGTAATCCCGTATTCTTATTTTGGCCTTAAAGAAAAATCAATTTACTGTCTTTTGCTTTTATTTCGTTCGTTTTAGAAATTCGATCTAATGAATCACGTGTCCCATCAGTGTATTGTGATGCAATTCATGCTCGAATTGGCCAAATCTCTCAAATGTGATCCGCGTAGTTGTATTCGACCGTTCTTTGCCAAGTGAGTCTCTGTTTTTCCCTCCTCCTCTAGTAATCAGTCGCAAGTTTAATGCTCCTCTAGTAATTCTATCAACTGACTTGATTGTCCCAATGCCATTGCACTTGACTTGAGTAAATTCGAGAATATTGTTTATTGTGTTTCCTATTCAACTTCGTATTTCACCTCACAACACTGCTTGCGGCAGCAACCCTACCCCTAGAGCCCCTTCCTTGATCGATGATCTAAACCAAATCAAAACCACTGAGTACGCGATTGTGGTATAAGTGATATATTCGAACCGCGATTTACTGCATCTGACCATTCTCTCTCTCATTCGGTCTATCAATCTAGAGATGTTTTGAGGTTCTCATGGCAATCCTGTCGCGCTTAATGTTATCAACACGACATCGCAAAGAATGAGACCACACCCTTGATCAGTGACTATACTTTTACGGAAGCGGAGTAGGATGCAAGCAATTTTGAAGCAGCTTCCGTTGACTCGAAACACCTTGGATTTCGACTCGACTTTCTATCGTAACTGACGTGACGCATTTACTGTGACATACTACGGTCATTACCTGTTTGTGACTGTAAGAACTGGAATGAACGCGTGGAAAATGCAAATTCTTGTGATTTCGGACCGTGACCGTTTGATTAGTTTGGCTCAAGTGGGATGATTTGGCGCCATATCTGTAAAGATTAATGATATATATATATATATATAGTTTTTTATTGTCATTGTGTGACGAACAACAGAAGTGGCAAACCCCAAAGACATACTCTTCATTCCTGACAATCAGCAACCTAGACCCTGGGATTTGGATTGGAGAATCACATACGATCTCGCTAATATAGTCGTGGTATTGAGCAGCAAAGCTGCCCTCCACCAAAGTTGGGTGGCATTGACAGTGCTCGAACCGCCTACTTTTTAGGGGTCCATAACACCTCAGTGACACTGAATTAAGTCCCGTGCCCACAAGCTGATAATAGGTAATTTATTTCGGACTTCTTCCCTGCGTAAATTTTGCTGCCTACTAAGCGTTGACCAGATGTAATCTGCCTTATTCTGTTGGTTGTTGCTACACTACACTGGAAATCTGCAAATATCATGGAGACTGGATGTAGAAAACTACCTCGAGATATTAGGCAGAGTAAGTGCCCCATACAACGGATTAGACTTCGAACGATGGTGTCACTTTGACATTATGTGCGATGATCGCCAGCATAGTGACAACGTACTATATACTTCATTAATAGATTCATGAATCCAGAACCGGAGTACCAAAAGGCGTTCAACGACGAACTGACCGCATTCCGTGGACGCATTCGAGCNAACTGGAGGAGGTATGTGCACACCGTATTCTTCTCCGCGATTTCCATTTCTTTTTGGTCATCGTTGTTTGATGAATAGCAGAAGTAATAAATCCCATAGTTACGAGAACCCGTGGTTCACTTAGAGAAACCGATAACCCAATCCGTGGTACATGCATTGACGAACTAGATAAGGCTTCACCCGGTTAGGTGTAGTATTGAACGGGATGATAACGAAGCTGACTACCGTACCTTCAAATGACCACTTTAGACAGCCGCCAACCTTTTATTGTTTGATTCGCTTTCAGTTTATATTCCAAATGACGACATAAGTATGTTCCGGATACTAGTGAACTCGTGCATGTGCACGACAAATCTACTGTCTCATCTTTTATTATTATGACACAAGTTAATCTACGATTAGGATAACTATGCGTTGTACANGCTTTATTACAAGGTATTGCCAACTGGTGCAGCGTGACCTCACATGCAAAATCTGTACATAAAATTAGACTGTTTCAAAATGCATTTGTGGATAATGTAGTGAGTGACCTGTGGTGAAAGTGTTCCGCATACTGGAAAAGGTATCTGTCGCTCTTGACGGGCAGTGTGTCGCATTCTTCCGATCAGTGTTCTTGTTCAAGTCGGACACCGTCCGTCTACAGCCCGTGTACTGCGCACGAATATTCCGTTCGACCGGTTGGTTGGTCTCGGTACCTTAGAGAGGTTGGATAGTGAATGATCGTAATTACTGGGATCTGCGCTCAAAAACACCNAAAACACCCCCACCCCGTTTGATTATCCAGGAGGTCCACTGCACACACACTGCTTGTTTTCCTGTTTGAAGTTGTTCCGACTAAGGTCTAGGTGTTCTCTATAACCCGTCTGAAAGAAGATGCTTACATTTTTTTCAATGGGTAATTTTCTTATCTCGCTTTCATATTTTTATCCTTGTCATTGGTTTTTTTTAATTGTATTGTTATTGATCTATCCTAAAAAAAGAATGTAGATGTACGAGTTTCCGATGATAGAGCTGGTAAAAGTGAGCCGTTTAAGCAACAGTCTGTTGATAGTTAGTTATCTTAACCTCCGGTTGTTTTTCGGTTTTTGGCTTCCAACCTTGATTGATTTTCTCTCTCTCTCTGTCCCCTCCTCCCCCCTTCCGCTTTTTTTCTCTCTTTTCGCTTCTCGATCCCGCCTGACAGGAAGAACGTGAGAAACGTTTAGGACCAGGTGGTTTAGATCCCGTAGAAGTTTTTGAAAGTTTGCCACCAGTAAGTGTGATATATTAACTTGGTACTTCAATTTTAGTTCAATAATGACTTCCTGTTCTCACATTAGCATAATCACTGTGAGTAATAAGTCACACCTTTTTGACATTCATGTTAATCTATTTTTGTCACGTGATACTCTGTCGAAACCAAAATGGGAGCTCAGTGTACGAGGTGATGATATCAATGCAACCAGTCGCTAGTTACATGTTTGTCACATTTGATCATTCCTTAAGCAATCGCACACTCCTTTTCCCCGAGGTTTGTCGATGCATAGTTCTCGCTCGCCGAAATACTCTCACTTCAGCCTCAGTGTTTCTGTATAGCATGCGATACTCCTAGGAGTAAAATTCTGAAGTCTATCTCAAACTATGCATGGTTATGCATTAAGAAATGAACTCTGTTCATCAGAAGGGGATACAAAATCCTGCTGAGGATAACTAACCGTTCGTAAAAGTACACTCTCCTAACTATCATCAGTTTATTAACGATGCAACGTAAGTTATAATTACCGCGGTCGAGGCTTGATTCTTACTGGTTTTGTTTATAGCTTCTTGGGAAACGGTGTACTAAAGGGGTCTTTTGTGAGCAGTGTTTATTATCCTCGACCTTTTAATGTATCCATATGTCAAAAACAGAGTTCCCTTTAAGTGGATATACGAAACGGTAAGCATATACCTTTTGATTTATTTCAGGGCGTGTGAATGCAAAACAATGTATCGTTTGAGTTTCACTTTAGATTTTTACTCCTAGGAGTATCGCATGTTATACAGAAACACTGAGGCTGTTAGAGATGTATCAAATGATTTGACGATACGGGTACATCGGTTAAACCTTCAACAATCAACGTGTTGGGGCATGCAACCCGCGCACATTCTTATTTCCCAACCAAGCTTTGGAGCATCAACATTTGTAGAAAATAATTTTTTTCAACATCGGTTTATTTTAGAATATCCCATTACGTTTTGATCTGACTCGTCTACTGCGGTGTGACTAAAGTCAGTGCGTTGAGGCTAATGGACTACGGGTTTTGGCTAAAGGATTACGGTTCGTAGCTAAAGGATTGCGGGTTTTAGCTAAAGCTTGATGGGAAAAGTGTAGCTCATCTGGGAACGTCGGAAGATCCTGTTTTAAAACCATTCAGGACTGATTCCGGGTCGCATTGTTCATCGGCTTTATCGGGCAACAAGATGTATTGTGAACTAAGGAAGGACGTATCATTCATACCCGACAGGGAGTGTGTACTCCGATTAAGGCCCTCCTTCTCCCCCCTCGTGGACTGCGGTCGTCGGACCACACCGCCGTCTTGCCGGTCAGGCTTTTACCATCCGAAGGCTTCGTTTGTAAACCACTCCCACCCAAATGACCCACCTACTTTAGTCTTAGCAGTATGAAAATTGTTTACGAGCAAACCACGAACGGATTTCCTTTTTATAGAAATTGCTGTACAATGGTTTGCTTGGCACAGTCTATGCTATCATGACGATCGTTCTGCTTTAACTTTATATTTTCTACCTCATTCCGAAGAGCTGTAAGAGTTAAGGAAACGGAACTGCTCTCTTTTGAGAGAGTTTAAGATTCCGACTAATTGGTATTTAAAATTGACTTAAACTTTCTCGTACTCCGACGAGTACGATTTCGGGCAAACACGTCTAAAATAGGTCGTGAGTAGTGAGTGCTTTTTCAGCATTGGTCGTGAAGTGGTCTCTCAACTACCTTGTATTTCCTCGAGACAGTGGACTGTAAAACCCGGATCTAATGTAGCTGTGCTAAAACGTTCTTCCAGCGCTGCGTTTCTGATTTTGACCCCAAGCAAGAGGAACCTGGTGAGCAATTGAAGTGAAAAATGAACCATAGACTTGTGTCTGTTCATCGGCGTGTTACGTTTGGCGTAGCATTTAAACTTCAAGTGCGTTGTCGAAAGGTACATCAGTTGATCACAACCCAATATACCATACCATGCTATATTGTGGAACGTCTTGTAATTGAGACATTTTTGTCAGCTTATGGACAATTAAAACGTGTTTCTCTAGCGTCCTCTTGGTTCTTTTTGTGTATCCAGAACATGAAAGAATGTTTTGAGAAGAAAGATGTCGAGATGTTGAAAACAGTTTTATGCTCCATGGACCCAAAAGACGCCGAATATCACATGAAACGTTGCGTGGATAGTGGATTATGGGTGGACAATGTCAATCCCGAAGCCGGTGACGAAGGGGACAAGGCTGAAACCGCGAATGACGAACCAGATGCCACCGGATCCACGGAGCAAACAAACGCCACCGCGTGAATGCCTCTCCATGCTCTTACCATCGATCCATGTTTAAGTCCAGACCAGTGAATGCTGTCCAGTGCTACCGAGACCATTTCAGACTCCGCATATTGTACACTTATGAACGCAATTGATTGATTACACTCTAATTTAGCTACTATTCAGGGCTCATTTTTACTGGCACTTCTTTCCGGGCTCTGGCGCACTGTTGCGTCACCAGTGTGGTTGTTCATCCATTTGTTCCTTTGTGTTTTCACAGTGTATCATATTTCAAATGAGGAGAGATGTAGTAGCATCAATTCGCCTGCCTCACCCAGATCCAGCATCACACTATTACCATCGTTTGAATTTTCACAGCTCAAAAGTATTTCCGAATTTCCTTTCATCGTACTGTGTTCATCATGTCGCGTTCCACTGTCCGACCGTGCTCGCTTGTTGTCCCTAATATCAAATGAATATGAGAGGGTAAAAGGCATGCGTTCGTCATCATTCGTCTACAACACTCCCTTCTTTCTATCGACTCACCACCCCCACCCCGCCATCCATATAATGGGCTCTAATGTTACTCCTCCCCCCTTGCTGTGAATCGCAAACAAACTTGCTCCTCTACTGTGTCTCGGTCACTGACCATCCGGTTCGTCTATGCCCGCATTCACATCCAGAACCATCCTGCTTGTCCCACTTTTTTGGCATCTGGCGCTTCGGCATTGTAACTTCCAGTTCCAAAGCGAAATTAATGAGTCACGCAACATTTTCTCAGTTAATCAACCATATTGTGCAATCTTCTTTGTTTACTGCGAAAGTGGGACTGGATCAGCCGCCGCCTACCTCTGCTGCGGGAACACATGTTTGTAGATCTATACCGTAATTTTTGCGCTTCGTATTTATGAAGGGAAGTAAGATGAAGCGCAGGATTGTGAAGGTGCTTGTCATGTCAGATGTAGGTACACTCTTCTGCAGAATTATCCCCACCCAGGGTTTTCATTGGGTTTCTGCTTTTACGTAACTTACTGAAGCTCAGTCGACCAACACAATTTAAAAGGTTCAGTTCAATTTCAGTTTGTACAATCACTAACCGTGCACTTCCGTTCGCCGGTTTCGGTTGCTATCTTTTGGCCGTCCATTTGAATGAAGCAACAGGAAGACAGAAAAATTGAAATTAGATTGGAAGATAAAATGGGGAATCCTAGTGGACTAATGTTGCAAGCGTCTCTAACCACCGGCTACGATCATTCCGGGATCTCCAGCCAGGATGCTTAACGGGACTTATGTGGCCTGGTCTCCTGGTTAGGGTTTTCGTATCTACATACCAGGTCTTCGTTTGAACGTTCTTCTATCCGCTACCTGCCTCGGCATCGCTCACCGTCGGTAACCTATCTGGTGACAAGAGCAGCACATGTCCTAACCAGCGTGATCTATAGAGGTCGACCACTGGCTCCAGTGGACGACCGCGATTACCTAAAACTAGCCCGAACCTCAGCATTACTTGTCCGCCAAACTCACCCAGTGCGACGTAGACAGCGGTGTTCGAACACCGTCACTTTATTTTTATCCTGTTCCCGTAATGGCTAAGTCTCTGCACCGGTACTCCTTATTAGACGAAAAAGGGCACGACCATTATCATAGCCGCAGCTTTCTCCATCTCTACACCTTCCTACCTACTATTTCTTGCTGTTATTCTTCAGACTCTGAATGAGCTGGCGTTTAAGGGATTTTGCGCTGTGTCATATGTGGCATCAGATGGACGGGCTCTGCGGGTGTCCAGCAAGGCAGCCGAAGTCGACGAGGTCCATCTTTTGTGTTTTGATCCTACGCTTGGGCTCACCGTTGCTTTTATCGATATTTGCTTGGCTTTTTTCGATTTACCTCCAGTGTTCTTTGCGTCCTTCGGCTAGTGGCTGAACTGATAGGTGATATACAGCAATCGTTGATCAGTGAGAGCGGCAGCCTTGAATCGACCCGCTCCATCGATGATGCATGGCGATTTGTTTGATTTAGATCCTTCACTGTGAAGAGCTAGCGGTTTCCAAGTAAGGCAGTGTCGTTTCTTGTGGGAGAGTTGGTGCTTGAGAGGTACAATCCGTGGCCCGCGCAAAGTTGAAGTAGACGATCTCTTTTGTCCGTCCGGTTGTCTAGGATTGCATATGGACCACCAGGTATCCCACTTGAGCATTGAAATCTACGACGACGTCCGCTGATCGGACACTCTATAGTAATTGAGAAAAATCCTCGTAGAACTCATCCTTCATTTCAGGTGTACTGCAATCGGTCGATGCACACTGATACGACAAATAGGTAACGACGCTTCGTCCTGCAGCTGTTGACTGCCAAGCAAATCACGGTAGAATAATATTTATGAAAAAGAAACGTTCCATAATTGGCTTGTGGGCTGAATAATTCCGGGTTGTCCAGGCCAAGGCAGGTGAATTTTCTTGAGGAGTTCACAACTAAAGACTTCGGCTAGCCAAAGCCTAGCCTGCAACGCAACGGGGTGGTGTGCGAAAACCGCAATTCATTGAGGGCCGGTGTTCAGCTCATCGGATCATACGTCCTTTGGACGGGGTCAAACGTCCAAGGTGCCTAATCGAACCGGTGACCACTGCCACAATCGGGAAGGTTTGTATGGCTCTTGTTATTTAGTTTGGAATCAGGGTTTTAGGCTAATTCCTTCAACGATCAGGTGGATCCATTCGTAGAAGCCTACATCATAAGAAAACATGGACGGGACAGTACACACTACCACAGCTTCGTCCCATTGCAACAGAAGAGAAATTTGATTCGTTGCTTAACAAATAGAGTTAAGAAACTTTGTTCTTCTTGAGTTTGAACTGCGAAGAATACGAAAAGTTTTTTCTAGAGAATGGATATCCTGAGTCATTCATTCATAAAAGCATGACATCATATCCCTCCAAGACATTATGTGACACAGCAAATAAGAAGCGTGTCTATCTCTCCATCCCATTCAGGGGAGAAACGATCGCGAAAGTATTGAGTAGACGAATTCAATCTTCCATCAAATTCACCTGCTTTGCAGCTGAATCCTGCATTATACTCACGTCCAAACTGGTCCTCTTAATGCAGACTAAAGATAGGTTACGGTTACCCTCGGATGCGACCTCATTTCGTGTTTATCAATTCACCTGTTTTTGTGGAGCAAGTTATATGAGTCGAACGGTAAGGCGTCTATCTGATCGCATGTAGGAGCATCACCCCGTTTGGTTGAACCAGGGATTGATGAGGACCGGGGCGACGGCAATTAAGAACCATTTGACTGAGTCTAATCACACAGTCAATGTGCTTGAAGCTTTCCGTCCTCTCTACACGGCCAAGGGTAGGTTATCCAAAGAGGTCAAGTTCAGAATTTTGTCAACTGCCATCCGTCTCCACACACACACACCCTCCCCCCACACACACTTGTGGGCCAAGAAACAGTTTGTAAGGACATTGGTCTCCGTTTATGATCAACCACTTAATCTCCTACCCATCCATTCACAAGCGCTCTCACTTTCCTCGTACACAGACATACACACTCACGAACAACAATTATCGCAAGTTCATTATCTCTCCTTAAACTCTGATTTCCCTCGCAGATATTTGTCTCCTCTCCCCACGTGTTTTAATCTCTTATAAATTTTGCTGTATTTAGCCAGTTGAGGTTGCACCGAAAACGAGATTGCTATTTTTTTGTGTTCTCAGGTTGTAAGTGGATGGATGGGACGATAGCGGAATAGCGGTCTATAGTTCAACAGTTCGGGAGTCAAGGAAGGTTGGAAAAGAGAAGCATAAAATCGGGCGATAGAAACTTGACGAGGTGGAATAGCTAATGGTGCGCGGGAAAAGGTGATAAGAGTTACGGCAAAAGGAAATTTCGAGACCAGCTGTAAGGAGCAAAAGCAGTCACCTTAGCGAGTGGACAGCGAAACAACGGCCCGACGATGGACTGGTAATGTCAGACTTAGATAAGGGAGGATCACTGATTGTTTCGAATTCGTTTTTACCTACTCGGGCGGGGCCTTTGGGTTTTGGAAACGCTCATTCGGTGGAGTGAGGAACTGTCGAAGAGACAAAAATTCGTTCCAAGGATGAGAAGCTAGCTGATAAACGAAGCGGTTGCAGTGACAAAATGTAGCTGGGGCAGTTGCAGGATCTGGGCGGGCAAATCGATCGAGCAAGAAATCATGACAGTGAT